GGGGGGAGTCCTGCTGGTCCTTCTTTTCATCACCAAACCCCTCTAATCCTGGAGGGAGTAAGAATCACTCTGAGTCAAAGGTTGGGATGCAGAATTCCTCCCATCTCACCCAAAACCAATCTGATAGATGGGGAGGGGAAAAGCTGGAGGCTGAGGTCCCCTGCAGTGACCAACAGACAACACCCCCCCTCAGGGAATAATGAAGGCCTTCAACTCCACAGACAGTTTGGACTTCACTCCAGAACTCTGCCTGGCCACACGGCTCTGCTACCATCACGGTGCTCCTGGAACCCTGGCCTGTCAGAGCTGGAAATCACCCCAGAGAAGGCCAGCACCCTCATCATACTGGTGAGGTCAGAGAGGGAGGCCATCTGCCCAGAGTCACTCAGCTAGTGGCAGAACCAGGAGGAGAACTTGAGGGTCTGCTTCCAGATGCCAGCCTTTTTTTAGGTTCTCCAGTTGGTCTAGGTTATCCTCTCATTTATCTTTTCTGGGACTTCCATTAACAATGTAAATAGAGCTCTTTGTAGCTGGACTCTGTTGATTGTGGGAAGCCCAAGCACACTCCCCTAGTCCAGGAAGCCAGCCTAGATTGATCCTCCAGCTCCACCTCTCTCCTCTTTGCAACTCTGACAGCTGACTTAGTGTGTTGGGGTGACTGGGGAGGCACTGGAGGCCATACATCCTGGTCCATCCAGGCCCTATGCACCTGCCATGAGGAGGGCAGCCACGCATTCAGAGCGGTTCCGAACAGCAGCCTTCATCAGCGCTGTTAGCCCCCGCTGGTCTCGCCGCTCCAAGTCCAGGCCTGAGTAGTAGTTGAGCAGGAGACTCACCAGAGGCACGTGACCTGCAGAGCACCAAAGGCAGATCTTGAATCCCAGGAAAGCGGTGGTGAAGCCCCAAACCCACCCTCCACCCAGCACTGCAGAGACTGGGTGGGAGAACATCATGCAGAGTGTGGAGCTGTGGCCCAGTCTGGAGGCAGGGGACTGGTAGGGGGTGGGGTCGGCAGCCTTGTACCTGCTTGGGCAGCCAGCATGAGGGCTGTGTCTCCTTCTTTGTCCTGTTGGTTCACATCCAGGAAAGGACAGCGGCTGAGTAGGGCCACAACACTCCTGAAGCCGTGGTAGCAGGCGACCATGAGGCCTGTCTGCGGGAGGGGCAGCTCAGCCGCTGTGCTTGCCTCCAGGAGCTCCTTGGGTTCCCTGTGCTCCTTAAACCCAGAGACATCCCAGCCCCTGCGGAGACCCATTCTCACCCATTCCCTTCTCCCTGAGGACCCAGGCAGTGGGTGTTGACCCTGAAACTCTCTCAGGATGAGTGTGGTGTGGCCAGGACACCGAGCTGCCCTGGGAAGCACCTGGGGTAGCTCACCCTCCCGTTGCCATCCACCTGGGTGGCCTCCTCTGGGGAGACCCCCTCATCCAGCGTGGCTTGAAGCTGGGCAGAGTCGTTTCGAACACAGGCCCAGTAGAGGGCCCCCAGCAGGCAGTCTGGGGCAGGGGTCTCATTGCTGGAGCAGGACAGAGCCTCAGACATGTCCAGTCCTCCACTCCACAGGGGCAGCTCTTCCTCTTCCAGCTTGGCCGCAGAAGGCGAGTCCCCCCTTCCTCACGCAGCTGACATCTGTAACAGAACGGAGGGAGCACCATCTCCTTGGGTCCCAGGGAGGGGAGCCCACCAGCTGCAAATCTCCCAACCCTTGCCAGGGGAAGAGCCTTCTCCCACTGGGGCATCCTGTCCCATCCAACCTTTGAGGGAGGACAAGTGGCAGTAGCCCCAAAAGGGCAGAAGTGAGGATCCCAGTGAGATGCAAGAGGGGCCGTCTTTTCTTTCCCATGGGACCTCACCTCGGGTTTGGAGGCTCCCTCTAGGAGGCAGTCATTGCTGGGCCCACAGCAGCCCCCAGGCTCCTGGGTGCACACTCACCAGGTCTCTGGAGCGATGGAGGTGGACTATCTGTCCCTAGGAAGCAACGCAGGTGACAGATGGCCAGACTTAAGGAAAGAGCTGCAGCAAACATCCCAGCGCTGAGCTGGATCAAGCCGGGTTGGGAAGGACGGGGCGGGAGGNGCGGGTGCTTACCCAGAGCAGCCCCGGGTCCTGCCCGGGGTGGGCGGGGCCAGGTCCCGGCGGCCCCACCCCCGGAGGCGGCTCGGGAGCGAGGCCCAGCTGCTCTCCAAACGCGCTCACCTTCCGCCTTCTGCGGGGACCAGCTGCGCCAGAAACGGATCCTTCGAGGATGGGAGGGTCATGAGGTCTCAGAACACCTAAGGGCTCTTTCCCTGTGGCAATGAGGTCGTGGTGGTGGGACAGGGGTTATGTGGACATCTCCCTAAATAGGGCTGATACTGGGGAAGGGGGGGG